TACAGTTATACTAGAATAAAACATCAAGACTTTAATACGTGCTTTAAGTCGAAGAAGCTTATACCAGATGGTGCAGTTATAATCAGCTACCTTTCAGCTTTTGGAACGAAAAGTCATCAGAAATGGATATACACCAAATGCTAGATTATAACCACTCAAAGTCATTTTAACTAAGTGCTTACCTGTAGAATATAGTTGGATACAAACAACTACCGTAATTCATCTATACTGGTTGTTTGGATCTTCCCGTTGAGTTTTAGGACTGCAATTGATCAGTTTCTTTTGGCATGGTATGATACACTCATCCTGGATTCTACTGCTGGCCACTATCCATCTCTGCTGAAAAACCACCGTAATTGTATCCAAAATATAAAAACTTATGTACAGTTTATGGCATCCACTCTGCTAAATAAATCATATGTTCTTTGCTAATTGACAATATTTTCTATGAAAATAAGTGTTTATTCCTTTTATGCTGATTTTTTATTTAGCTCTAATGTACTATATAGTACTGAAAAACTTGGTAATGATGTAAGTAGAAAACCAACAGGTCAAACAACTAGTGGACTTGATCGTCCAAATGTCCCACCAAGACAAACTTCATTACGTACCGGACCAAGCACTGAAGATACAGATGATACTATGAAAAACCTACGCAAAACATTTGCTGGAATTTTTGGTGATTTATAAAAGAATTTTCCAGTAGAATTGTCTTATTTATAACTAACGTATTATTACTAATTATAAATGTTGTATCTTTTAATCAATTTTTTTCTAAACTACAAAGAATAATGTTATTGCTGCTTGATCAGTTTTTCATTTTTTTATTTTCTCTTCTTTACTGCAAATATTTGTTTGGTGAAATTTCCAATATAAAATAACTAAATATTTATGTTATTGCATACTTCGTTAACATAGTAAATCTATCTTAGTTTCATCTAATTAATAAAATCAAACAAAAAATCAATATACTTCTAATCATTCTTACCTATCCAATTACTACTAATATTTTGTTGTTCAAGCATTTTTGTTCATACACAAATTCTCTAAATCCATACAATGACAAATTGAAACTCAAGTTAATTAATCTCAAAAAACAGAATTATTTATCACTACTATTTGTCTAATTATTTACTACTTATAATTTACTTATAAAATAAATTGAAATGTGACAATATTAATCTATCCAATTGATATTTCAAAGTGCTCATATCAGTTGTTTATTGACCTTTCAAGTATTTACTTATTTCTGTGATGTTTTCTTATTCTGCCTTTCTCTCTCTCCATCTCCCTCTATTCCTCCATTGCTATACTTATTATTTGAAGATATTAAGAAATTTTTATCGTCTTGAGAAGTAATTCGACTAGTGAATCTTATTTAAAAATGGAAGCCGATCCAAGCATAATGAATGACCAGAACAATAAAGGTAGGAGATTAATAGGCTTTTGTTTTATTTTTTAAAAGTCTATTGCTTGTTGTTTATCTAGTTAATTTATTACTATCCTACAAAATTATTAACAAATCATGTACAAAGTGATACCGTTTCAGTGGATGACCAAATGATTGTCAGTCAGTCAGCTACAACTTAAGACCAGGCACATATATGCATCGGTCCAAGTTGCCATACATCATTAACACAACAAGATGAACACCGAATTCATAAAAGTAGTTAATTCAGAGGTGGTAATATATGAAATAAAGATTGCAATAAGGATATAGTACACGAAGAAAGAATTAGTTCGTGGAAAGAAAGATATGAAGCAATTTTAATCTCTTAGTTTAAGGGAAGATAGATAGTGTATATACACCTACGCCATTGTGATCGGTTCTGAGCCATGTCACCAAGAGTCTCCAACCATTGGTTACGATAGTCACGCGGACCCCAACCAAGTAGTCTGCATCTACCAACATGGCTCAGACTAGAAGTTAGTGACTTCAAGCACTGATGTCACGTTTTGGTTTGGCCGCCCCTAACTTTCTTCCAACTATCCCGAACACCGGTTAGAATTGCACGTCGTGGTAATCGGTGTTCGGGCATACGCAACACGTGGCCCAACCATCTCAGTCCATGAAGATTCATAACCTCATTAACTGATTCTCCATCATTCCCTAATACCCTGGGTCTAACCTCACTATTACTTACCCGATGATCCCAGCAGATGCGAGCAACATTTCTAAGGCATCTGTGGCCAAATACTAGTAGCTTACGAGTATCTCCTACTCTTAATGGCCAAGTTTCTCAGCCGAAAAGTAGAACAGAACGGACTGCCACGCAGTATACTTGTACTTTAATTGATAGATGGATATCTCGCCTTCTCCGTAGGTGACGTAAGTTGGCAAAAGCCAAACGAGCTCCTCGAATCCGTGCTGAGATTTCGTCAGTCACCTACCCATTATGGCTGATCAGACTTCCAAGATAGGTGAAGTTGCTAACGCGTTTGACTACTTCACTCCCTCTCCTTAGTTCAGGTGTTGACGCAGGCTAGTCCTGAAGCAACAACTTGCAGTTAGATGTGGAGAAACGCATCCCAAACATTGTCATTGTTGTCCAGTGCTACCAAAAGACTGTATTTTATCAGCGTCTTCATTAAACAAGACTATATCATCTGCGTATTCTAAGTCGATAAGTGGACCTCCCGACCGTTGTTGCTACCTTGACGTGGTGGCCGGGCTTCCCTATCGTGATTAAACAACCGAGCCATACTGGTTGAAACAACCGTTTCTCAAGGTCCTACCATGTCAGACAGGTCGGTTGAAGAGCGATAAGACTAAAAGCAACAAACCCAAGGTCCGAAGGCGAATTCGTGCTGCTGACTGTACAGAGGTGTGACAGCAGTAAGGTGTTTCCTTCAGACAACCAGCATGACAGCGATGCTGCCTTCCCACAAGGAGAGGTGAGGTTAGAAAAGGTCGACTCTAAAAATGCACACCTCGCCTTATCCCACGGATATCCGTCTCCGGTGGTAAGGTCTCAACAAGTACGGAGCTGACACAAGAATTGCCCACAAAAAGGTCGTGTGTGACCGACCTCAAGCAGTTGTCCCTTGGGCACTGCGGTCACGCTCCCAGGTCACTAAGACCACCTCTAATCCAATTTCCTTTTCAGGTACCTCCAGAGCAACCCTTCCACGGTGTGGGCATCCGGGAAGTGATAACCGCCCTCATACCTTTAACAGCACTCAAGATCACTGTATTCACAGTCAACCTCCGTCTTCACTTTCTATTATTCCTCCTAAGTCGACTTTCACCTCTAAACTTCCTTTTTCGGCTTCCTCCTCAAATGTCACCACAGCCAACGATTCTAGTGCTCAAAACACTGTCCCAGGGATACTGAAACCTCGCTCCAAACTACACATTGGAGCCTTCAACGTATGCACCCTATGTCAAATCGGTCAACAGACTTCCTTGGCTAGAACCCTAGAATCTCGTACCATTGATATATGCTGTGTCTATGAAACACGCATACAGGATCCCAGTGTGGTCATTCACTTGACCTCACCACGACAAAACGGAGACCCGACGGCCAGCTCCCGTGGACTGGCAGTAGGGATAGCACTAAGCATGAGGGCGGAACAAGCACTGTTAGAGTGGATCCCCGTTAACAGTCGTTTATGTGCTGTTTGGCTAAACCAAATGATTGATTGTCAGTCTGATTTGTTCTTCCGATAATGTGAACTGGTGTTACTAAAATCCCACACAAGCGAAAGACCTATTGCTTGGTGTTGAGTACACCATAAGCTTCCAATCATAAATCGATCTCCTTGATTACTAAGGCTAGGCAACTAGAAATTTACTTAAAAATTGAATTTAAGATTCTACTCAAACTTATGAGCATTATTCATTTCAGGTACAGTACCCAAACAATAAAGGAATCTAGTAAATCCGAGTTAGTATAAAGAAACCCCTGAAATTTTTGCTTTTAAATCTGTCATTTCTAATAAAGATCAATTTTGTAAGTGCATAGTGAAATAAGTCAATATTTAAAAAGTAGTAAATTACTAAATCACTTCAGAAAAGCCTGAAATGAGAATAAAATATTTGTCCAGTACTTCCTAGTTTTCAGTGATTATCCAATTGACACCAGCCTTTAATGTAGGCTAACTTCCTTTTCAGTCTGATTATTTAAGTCAGTAGTCAATCTTCGTAAATTTCTTTACAACGTTGACTCCATCGGTTTCGAAGGTAATGATCAATTGATCGTATTAAACCGACACTTAGGACGATTTTCAAATTAAAACTGAATAATCGACGTCAGACTTGGAAGTATCTGGAAATAAGAGCACATAATATTGAGAACAAACGTGTTTTCCTATTCATCGGTCAATGTAATACAGGCTCAAAATATTATCTCCATTACACAGATCATTACTACTCCGCTAATTAAGTCTTCTTTGACTCCAAATTAATGGTAAATATTAATCCATATCATTAACTCAGTTGTAATTTCAGATCTTATCAGCAGTTTTTAAATATGTTAACTGAAACTTATAATATCACTTCATACACCAAACCATAGCCACTATGTTATTAGGTTAGGATAGATACTGTTTATTTAACAGATATTTTCTATTGTTAGAACTTTTAGCATTCCGTCATTGATCTTATCAGGACCTAATTGATCTTTGTATTCCGTTTCTTGGTAGGGAAGATTTAACAATCACAAACGTCCCATCTTGATAGTAGCATGGGGTTCGAATAGATCGATCTCAATGTATTTGAAACGAGTCCAATGAATCCGTCTCATTCCATCACATATTGACGTTCTGATTAAGAATGTTTGTAAAGAATTCAGAGTGGTTTATTGATAGTGACTCCTCAGTTAGTGGGAACGATAATTCTAAATAATGGAATTGAGAAAATATATTACGTGACGACGATAAACCATATACGAAAATAAGCTTCACGAGTCTGTAAATCACACCGGAGTGCAGAAGTGGACGATGGTTGAATCCCCCAGGAATACTAGTTGCTGCTTAGTGAAAAATTAAATGAATCTGATTAGATATGGAAATTTACTTTATTACTCGATTGAGAAATACAATGTTTTGAACGGTATACTGATTAAGTTTTCAAAAAAAATAGTTCTTAGAAAAGGACATTGAACTCAACATTTCAGAGATAGTACATATTTACACACATAGATGATAGATACACCAATAGGAACATATCACTTGAAGAAAATGGTCAATTAAGAGTTGTGATGATTGACGAGCTTGAGAAAGAAACTGAGACGAATATGACAAGGTCATTGAGGAGGAAGAACGAATTTGTATGAAAAAGAAAATAAAACAATTTTTTAAAGAAAATAAGTGAATATAAAACCACACTCAGATTAACTGACAAAAATATTGTGTTAGCAGCAACAGTAGCACATAGTTTAAAAAACTGACTCGATAGATGTAAATATTAACATATTCCGAAGTATATTATTACAGATTATGCAGAAAAACATATATTGAGAAAAATAGAATGAAAGAGTGCAGGTGACTAAAAGATTACTGATGAAATACAATTGTATGTCATAAATCAATGTTACTATATTTCTTCTATTCAGTGGAAAGTAAAGTGATAATTTTGTTCAAGTTTCCTGACGCGTTTTTCTTCCTTCTTTCTAGGTCCACCAGGCTATAAAACATAAATATTAGAGAATGTATATACGAACTCAATAAAACCACCCAATAATAAAAAACTAATATAAAAATCAGACTACAACTTTTGCGATAAAGCTGCATTATGTGACTAGCAATAACGCAAGTGGAATGTTAAACACATAGACTTGACCCTGCTGACATTATCAAATGCTAACATTAACTGTTTAGTGTTCAGTCTCTGCATACATCGATATATAGGGTTCATCTACTTTAACTATTTATTATTGTCTACTTTAAAATTACTAAGCATTTGAATGAATATGTATAACTCAATGTGTAAAATGGAATCTAACTAATTTTGTATCCAATTATATATTTATGAACTCACCATAATGTAATACGTAGATAAACCTCCTTGATTTTCTGGTTTTTCAACTATATCCACTTCGTCCGATATTTCTGGATCTAAGTTAGTTACGACTTTTTGCATAATCTCTATGATCTCCCGTTGTTTAAGAGATGGCAAAAGATCGCGATCCCATTGATCTGCAGCACCTTGATTATATTTATCTTTCACAATACGATTACCACCTTGTATCACAACAACATTGACATTTGAATCAGTAAGTATATTGGAAAACGTTTGTTTCAGTCGGGTTTCTATATTCTGACTAAGCTCTATTTTCTTATGAAGAAAGAAAAGTATCTTGACATATAATTTCGAAGTCTCCAGGAAGAGATCGGTTAAATCTACAACTTTTTTAATTACATCAAACAACTTCGAGTATTCTTCATAACTTAGAGGATTATCCAACACCTTCCCATTGTACTGTAAGATCTCAATATTGTTGTCTTTATTACTTGAAAATGTGAAGTCTAACTTATACTTTAGGTATGCAGATTTTGCATTGTTTCTCGATTCGGTAGGTAGACGGGTTAAAGGTATATCTTCAACAGTTGGTATATCTAAGTTATGCTTTTTATAAACATGGATCACAGTGGATAACATTGTGTGAGCCTCATTAGGATCTGAATATAAAAAAATAAATTTTCTCTAATAAGATTTGCACAAAAAACTACGATTTTTAGTTCAACAGAGACTATCTTAATGAATTCAACAAACTACATTTCGAAGTCTATCCTCTTGGACATAGTAAGACAATTACACACTAGCACCATGTAGTAATTAAAAGTAAATTATATGAAGTAGACCTCATGATTTATAGGGTTTAGGGCAGAACTGTGACGAACGCAAACAAAAGGTAACTTACAGATTAGGCGTATCATTTCAAGCCCAGCTATCTATTTGGTGTGGTTATGAAACTACGTCAGTGCATTGCTTTTATGCGCTTCTATTGACTACCTGAATCAATCGTGTCAGCTGCATGAAGTGGACGAACAGACATTGATATGAAGCTTGCCACTTGGATCAAATGACATACAAACTGTTAAAATCTTAAATTAGATCCGTAAGGTAGGTATTAAAAGATAAAAGTTGATTATATATATATATACTCTCACAGTAGTTTCAAGGTTTTTGCATAAAGTCTTTAATCATGTGATGCACTTGAAGTTTTCAAGTAACAGATAATTTCACAAGACCTTTCGACAGACTCCATGAAATATCCCCTCTATGTCAAGGAATCCGGTTATAGTCATGTATGTGTCCCAAAACCAAACGAAAGGTAAAAACCTATTTAAAACACTTATTTCCATAAACTTGTTCTAAAGCAGAAAATATGAGTTAGATGATTCTTAAGCCTTGGACCTTCAAAAAGATGTTCATGCAAATGATTTTACTAAATGGTTATCACCAAAGAACTTCAGTTTTTTCTATAAGCTGGGACAAGATCAAACCGAAGAAATTCCATCTAATCCCAAAGCTTTAGCTGATACTTCAAGATCACTATCCTTAAACAACTTACTTAGGTTATCGAGGGTAGTTGATTAACACTTAAACTAACACACTTCAATGGACTCACTTAGTAAAGCACTGGTCTATTTTTCACGGAAATAGTCACTGCCGTTTTCGAAAACACCTTATTGGTGTGTAGACAACCGTTTGTTAACATCTATTTTAGGCAGTTTTCATATTTTTACTTCCGCTACCTACTACCACTCGCAAACTTGAATAATCTCTATTAAAGTGAGGACTTGCTATATTGCAGGACAACGTCAAAAACAATCATGTCTGATACTTATCCATTGTGAAAACATAATGTGCACCCATGATATAGGATTTTGGAGTTTCGGGAAGTGAGACCAGTAATCCGGTTTGACGTAAGTTCCAAACGCCTCAACGCGTAATTTGAATGGTTCTTTCAAGCGACCGTAGATATTGATCCTCAACTTACAGACAGCTATATTCAGAGGCAGTATATGGTAATCAATAGCAAGGAAATTTAGGGGCTAACAAGGAAGATGGTTGATGATAAATAGTATAAAATCGATTATTGTTGACAGATCAGTATTCGACACTCATCAGAAACCAAAACTAAGTTGTTTTGTTCTGGAAAACCTAATAGTCTTATTGATAAGAGTGTGATTACACAGCCCAAGGGATACGCGCTTGAGGGTGTTTGCACACAAACTATCGGAAATTCTGAACTACTTTGCATGATGAGCTTTAGAATTTCCCTAGTTTTTTTCCTTGACCTTATTACTCCTAAACATAAGACAGATGATTCTCTCTAGATTCCATATGAAAATAGAACTAGAGATAATCCTTAGGAAATATCTTACTCTCCAGATTATGTGATACGGTTCGAAGTATAAAATCCACCTTTGAACCTGAGACTCATCATTTTTGGCCCTACCTTCAACCTTTCTTCTATTTTAGGACCTAAAGAAACAACTTTCCAAACAATATATCTTGGTTACGCAATCAAGTCTCCCATATTACGGTAAAAACAAACTTGGATATATCAAATATTTTAAAGCAGCTAAATGAAACGCAATCTATGTACACTGTCTTTCCATAAAATATTGAACATGTACGAAAGGACATGAATGGTATATTAAAGGTAGATGGGGTGAAGTAAGAAACTAGAAAGGAGCTTCCAAACCCTTGACGTTTTTACGAGCACAAAACTAGCAGGACTTCCAAACAGAATTTAAATGTCATAATATTTGAAAAAACGGGCGTATTATATTATATATACCTGTACAGCTAAATAGTTCACGCCAAATACGACTGATAGATTCGTGGACATCACTAAGATTAAATAGATGCATCATTCCCACTGTTTGCATAGGAGCAGTAAGAAACGTATTGAGCAATTGTCTATAGTCCTCTACTTCCATAATAACGCTCTTGATAGTGGAAAAAAGAAATAAGATATGCAATAACTTAGGCAGGAATTATACTTTAACCATTGAACGGAACTCATATATACAATATTGACCATAGATGAAGCCAGAATTTAAAACTTGGACTTATAGTTCCAAAACCCGGTTACTGACTTACACCGTAAAGTCACGAATAGTAAAAATGATCGTCAAACACCATTTACACAAACACGATTTAGGTGAAGATAAAAAATTTCATTAACTATAGATAAATAATGCCACTTTAGTGCTTTTCAACTGCACAGAAATCTGTTAGGGAAAGTATGCACCTTGTTTCCTTATTCTCCTGAAGTGTTTGACGAAGTTCGTAAAAAACTGGGAACATATAAAATTCGAAAATTATTCTCACGAAGCCGGAGAAATATCTGGCGAATCAATAGATAATGTCGCCAAACTACTTAGAATAAGGAATGAGCAACCACATTTAATGACAAACTAAGAAATCTACAATTGTAAATTCTTGCAGTTTACTTCAGAAAAATTGGTTCATTGTAAATCATTTATACTGTGGGAAATGTCTTAAGATCTTCGGCAATCACAAGAACTTCAGTAACCATTTTGACGAAGATTTTAATAATATGAAACAACTGCCAACTTAAAATTTGAATTAAACAAATGAACCTTTTAAAAAATGATTCCAGATAAAGAGAAATTCGAAATCGAAGACTAAACACTTTGTATTAGTGAAACCTCTTTAACAAGAAGTAAACTCAGACAAAGAAAAGTTGATAGATGCCCCACAGGATTCCAGTTAGATATTTACTAGTTTTTTAAAGTGTAGTTGTGCTGATGAGGTGTGGCAATTTGAACCGATGCATATATGTGCCTGATCCTATGTTGTACCTGACTAACTGAAGTTTGGTCATTTTAATTTCCATAACCTTGTATCCCTTTTACGAATTGTTTGAGTGTTCAGAAGATCAGTAAAAGCAGGTGAAAAAAGAAATGTAAACGGAATAACGTGTAAATTATTACGAAGAATATAAAGAATGAAAACATCTACATCAGTGTACTAGACTTTGGGTAATTTCTTTTAGTCTCCAATTACTGATAACTAACATCTTATGAAAATCAAACAAACGACGTACATTTCTCTACACATGTCACATCAACATTAAGTGAAATGTGGATTTGTGTCGTTTTCCGGTATTCCAACATTTAACCTTTCTTTAACTTGAACTCCTAACAATATAACACATCAGAGTAGACAACATATGTAGTAAATGTCCGAGCCTCTTGCCGAATTCAGAATTTTGCAACCCTAACGGATTGATTATTTCCCCTCTTTAAAGTCATTTATCTATTTATTTAAACACATAAACATTGGTACAAGGAGGCACCAAATATATATGCACCACACAGATCATTCGATTTCTGTGAGGGCTGGAATACTGTCCAGGAGCCCGAACCGAAATAGGTGGTTTTCTTAGAGGACCACTCCCCAAGACTTTCACCTAAAGGTTTAATCTATAAGGTAATGGAGAAACGTTAGGAGATGCAGTTTCATGGTACCTGGTGACCAACAATAGGTTTATATGCCTTTTACTCCCTCAGGATACTGGAACCTATGTTCACCACTGGTTTGGAATCAGGATTTTCCGACTCCTCTAGCTGGATCCTCCATCCGTAAATTCAACTGGTTAGTCAATCAATAACAACCCAGGACCTGATACAAATCTGTATCGGTCCAAATCCACATATTTAGACTATCTCAGTAAGAAAAACAAGAGAGTGTGAATAATAATACTAATGGCAATGGCAAAATAATAATAGAAAGTAGAACTCAATCTTTAAAATAAAGGAGTATGTTAAAGGAAACAGTAATACATCCAAGCCACTGTCACTGATTCTTAGCCACATATTAAACAATTCGACATTTTATAAATAAAATCGCGTTCAGCAAATTATCAGAAAATTTCAAAACTGAAAACCCAACATCTGATTACTTGCCAGAAAATATTGGTGAAAAGTTATAAAGGTAACTGATAGCAATAGATAAAACAAGTAATGAAAGTATGGTAATTTAGGAAGCTTACCTTAGTTACAATAATGGCTACTTTCACAATATCCAAAGGGACATGACGGTGAGATACTAAAGAAACATAATAGAAATGATAGAGATGTAGATGAAATACACATGCAAACACTTACGTTTTAAAGGGCACGATCTATTTGACCCAAGTAATTTCCAAAGTCAATAAACCAAGGACAATCTTTTCAGTTGTGTTGTTAGAAGCAAAAATAGGTAATGTATTATTAAAGAACTGTAGGAATGATGGTAATAATTTGATAGATTATTAATCAGATGAATTAACAGTAGCTTGTTATTATGAACCCAGCTACTTTTAAGTCAGTACCTAGAAGCTTCTGAAAATAAAGATGAGACTCGACGATTGTTAGTGGAACATAGATTGGATTAAAGCCCGTCCCGTGAAAGATTGTATTGGGGCACGCTGATTAGCTATTTCTTATCCAATCAACGCTAGTCGATACTTGGAGAAGACTCTAGAATCTTTTCATGTGAAAACTAAATATACTAACGTTTCTCTTATTGTGATTCCTACTTACATATACCCTTGTTATTTGGAATATAATTTCGTTCCTGTTCAATGGTGTTCTGATTTGGTGACTTGTCGAGTGAATTTGTATCCAAGAATACTAAGCAATATGAATAGTTGGGTCGTAATAAGAGAAATTATAACAACGATTAATTAGTCATTCAACTAGAACCAGATAAGGATACATTGTTTACTGTGTAGGGTTATAAACACAACAGAATTATATTGTGGTGTAAAACAGAAAAGCACGGAAAACGAAGACAGGAGGGAAAACATTAACACACAAATTCAAAGGAAACTTTCGTTTGACATGAACAATTAAAGAGAATACAGTATATCTGTTAATGACTTCGACCAATCACTAGGAGATGAACCTAAACAATTGATCTTTTTCTTCAACTACTTCTAGAATCAATGAAAAATGTCTAAACATATAGAAGGACATAAGGAAATACACTCTCATCCCAGAACGTAGTGTCATAGGATAGCCTGACTGGAAAAAAAACTTATCTTAACGAAAGTATACACCACTTAACCCAATTATTTGTGTTGCTATGCAGTTTTAGTGAAGATACTGTTTATTATTTAGTTTTAATAGTTGGATTCATGAGTCAATGTAAGTTAAACCACCATTAAAAACCTGTAAGTACGGAACGACCGTTTCGTCTCAGCATGGGACCACTCAGCAGTGCGCATTCACGATCCCGCAATAGGAAATCATATTCAGGACCTTTGGTCTCGCGCAGGAACGCTTAGCTTCTAGGCCACTGAGCCAGCATCCCGCCTTGTTAATGTCTAACTTTGATCGACCCATGATCTTGCGCAAACATTCATCTATTATCTGAGATAGATACCTGTCTCTACTCGACATGGATTGGAGTCGACTGGTGATGGCTTCTCACTTTCAGGTTTTCAATGGTGGTCGACTCTTGAATTCAACTATTAAAAATTACTAAAACCTCCACACACCCCCCATTTTGGTCATATTATTTATTTATTTGAACACATAAACATTGGTACAAGGGGGTATCACATACATATGCGCCATACAATAACAATGACGCCAGTAGTAGTTATCATTGTTTTTTGTGAGAGCTGTGATACTACCCGGGTGCCCAGATCGAAACAGGTGGCCTACTTAGGGGTCACACCCGGGACCTTTGACTTGAATGTCTAATCCACAAGGCAGTGGAACAACGTCGGGAGACGCAGTCCCATGGTAGCCGGTGACCAATAATAGGTTTATACGCTTTCTGTTCCCTCAGGATCCTGAAGTCCATGTGCACGATTGGTTTGGAATCCGGGTTTTCCAACTCCCCTAGGTGGATCTTCCACATCCACCAAGGCGCCGAAAATTCGCTTTTCGTCCTCTCAATTTCGTTAACAACACAACAACAGCTTTATGGGATTCCAGTAGGGCATTTAGATGCTGTTCATGTTTCAGGCTAAAGTCAAAGTTTGACATTTAGACGAAGTGTGAGACCATCGTTCAATAGGATACAAGGACTCACTCATTTCAATAGGATGTAAAGAGGTAGAAATCGGCACACGTACAGTGGAATGATCATAAAGGCTAGTATTTTAAAAAGTATATTAACCAAATTGATTCTTTTGTGATAACTGAAAGGGGATTCAGGTCCTTTCTTACAAACTATAACGATTAGTGATCGAGACCAGTTATATAGGATTACATCTAGCTTCCACACTTCAGCTAGTATTTCGACCAACTAAGTTGGTAAAATTGGACCACCACATCCTAGGCTAGTCCATTATATTTTACTACGCTACCTTATTTTAGACTAAACATTCTCTTCTAAATCTCACCAAGAGTGGATGGAATTGTGTCAATTTCCCATTCACATTGTTTGGGGATAGTGGGTAACTGAGGGGGGGTAGATGGAGGGCAATTAGCGTGTTTATGTAAACATTCCGTCCACCAATCGAATGTCTTGGACTGAGAAGGAACAACTTTTCATTTTTTACCGATGTGCCCCGAAGATGGATGATGTGATTAATTTTTGTCCAACGTTGTGTTGATGTTTGGGGGTCGCCAGGTTAGACTGTATGATTAAAATTTGTACTTGTTAGGAATAATCAGTTGTCTGAGTATAAGTCCGGCAGACGGTCACCGTTATTTGTTCATTGAATTGCGACACTATAAGACCCGCCCAAGTGTTTGATAGTTTGACTTAGCCTATGACTACTGAGCACCCGGGATTCTTAAAGGGGTCATAAAATTTCCTGTAAAACCTATTTTTACTTCATCTGAACTCCAGTTAGCCATAGGCAAAAAAGGCGAAGAGAACGGTGTGTCTCTACCTTTCCGAGTTTTTACTGTTATTGAAATGGAAGGTGCATAAGCGACTATTGATAGGAATCCAGTCGAGAAGTTTCTGTTTTGCTTCTAGACCTAATGGTACACACATAGGTAAGAGCATGAGAAGTCGCATCTCCATATACATGAATGGTATATAGTATTGGCTCTCCATACCCGCCAGATGCGGTCAAGTGGATGACTACTCTAGGACCCTATATGTGGGTTTCAGAGACAAGGTATACGTCAATATGAGATCCTAGGATCTTAGTTAGTGACGCCTGTTGTTTGTTTTGACGTAGGGTTCGGACAGTGATAGCTCCAAAATGTAGTTTGAGGCATGATTTCAAGAGAACTAGGGGGCGGATTTGTGGATTTGAGTCGTTAGTACTGGCAGCACATGTGAAAGAAGTCGAGGACAGACCAAGAGTGATAGTGTAGGTATAAGAAATATCTGGTAATGAAGATGGGACTTGATTATGAAAAAGTTGACCTTGAGTGTTGTTAAGAGTATGAAGGCAGTCGTCACTTCCCAGTTTCCCACACCGTGGAAGGATACCTCTCATTAAGATATCTACTGTAAATAAAAATCGGTTATGAGTAGTCTTGATGGCCTGGGAGCATGAACTCAGTGCCCAAGGACAGTCACACACTTTTCTGAACAATTTTAAACGAATCAACTCATGGGGAACTATCAAAGGAATTAGCAACAACCAATGACAGATTTAACAAATAGACGATTGGAGGATATGAGAACTATAGGTTATCCACTCTTCAGTAGAAGTAATATGAATCGACAAATAAAGAAGCCATTACAAAGAACAGAAGCTATTTCTGGGACGCTGTCTCGCTTGATTCGAGATCTGCACATTACTAACATCTAGTTTTGTTCCTAGTTTATTCTGTGAATCATAAGCCGTTTCATGTATAAATCACTGCCATATTCTTTTCTAACCCAAAACTAGTGATTTAAACGTAACTCTTGCATTTTTCATGTACCTACTCTGATGGCCTAGTTTGGACATTGTATTTTACTAGTTCTTTGTCCATTGTAATCTCCTCAGTCATATATTATTCATGCGCTTTAGGGTTAGTATGAATCCGGAATAAACCGGACAATAGTTTCAGCCAGACTATCTACCTCTACTTGTCAGTCAACCGAGTCACAGGTTAGTGGTAGGGTTGCTTTCTTCTGTCTTCAAGGTTATTCAGTCATAATCAAACTCACTTGATGCAAGTCTCAAAATTGTACTAAGTAACTTATCATATCCAGTTCGTAAACTAGGCCGAGACGATCCTGTACCTCTCTCCTCCTCTGAATATTAAGCACAGAGTCGTGGTCACACAGACCAAGTACGTAACAATAACTAAAGCTTAACTATCAGACTTAATTATTGCCTCGTCATGTCACGCTCAAGCTAGATAAGAATGAGAGGTAACTGAAGAGTAGCTGGAGGCCAGGTAAATCGCCCCTGCTCTGCTCGTTGTTCCAATTTCTTTGGCTGAAAAAACAGATCGCCATTTCATCTTATCCCTAGAGTCTCACCGATACCTGGCTTTTCAATGCATGTTTCCTTCATGAATCTGAACAATTGTCTAGTGCTATCAATTACCACTGCCCTTTCCATATCTTTTGCTTTTGTTGCCCATCACTGCTCATGATCATTAGGTAAACTTCTTGCCTGTTTGGTTAAGTTTTTTCACTCTTAATTGTTCTTCGAACGTGACAGGATAACATTCTACGAATCTATTTAGTAGATGTTGTTGAAATACAGTGATCTTTTCAAACCTTTTAGTTCAAATTGTTAACAGATGTCGCTACTGTTTTTAGAAAAGACTAAGAATCTTACCAAACTACTCCAGAAAAAACATTCCTTACATGGTAGACTAAGTACTTGGATAGTTCTGTCCTAGACAGACCCTTGACTTTTGAACTGAACTCGAAAAGGTTTGATTTTTCTGCGGCCAGTATGGTGTGATATGAGTCCAGATATATACTATGGGAATAACAGTCTTCAGTTGAATTCGTTTAACGATAACTGACAATTACTGTGAATATTATTTTGTAATTTCTCAGATTAGACCTGATATACTTGAAACGGTAGGATGTTCTCTTTTCGACAACTTAATTTCTTTATTATGTGATCATTTATTAAGAATTTATAATGATATTCCTGTGACAGTTAGCACTAGGGGAAAAAATAGGATTTTTATATTAGCCATATGTTAATGAAAGTATTCAGACCAACAAATACAATAAAATGTCATGCCCACCATCACAGATATACTCATGTTCCAAAAGAGCAAAAAAGTACGCATACTCACTTTCATTCCTTCTTAACAGAACAGATGTAAAATTTGAGAGGTCACTACTAAGCGAACCGATATGGAGCCATAGCTTATATAAACCGGCTGGATTTGTAGATAACAAAGATATAGGATGGGAACTCCATGAAGATTTAAGGTTTTGCTTTTTGTAGAGAACTGGTAATCTTTTCAAAGATCTAAGGAACATTCCTGTAGAGCGCCTGAGAAATTTCAATTTGCGCTTGCGTCGGTTGTTACGAATTTTCTGCAAAATAAGACATAATTTGGAGATCAACACGAAGAATGCGACAACTTAATGAACTCGTGGAGAAAAAGTACTGAATTGTAAACTGCTCTAATATATAGATAAAAGAGGCACGGAACGACATTCGGACAAAGTTTGACAGTGAACTAAAAAAATTTATTTACTTGTAACGTTTATTCACTAGTTGGAAAATATAGTGTGAACAACTGTCTCCCCCCCACAATATTTTACAGTTTATGTGAAACTACATGAAAAACTAGGACTCTCAAGTATGTATGTGTATGCATATATGTTACCGAAAGGGTACTAATATGAGTTTTTGAAGTTTCTTCAACTCTCAAAAGCTTCATATCTCATTAAAATTTGAAACCATGTTACACCAGTGACTTAAATGGCAAGGGAACTAATAGATACTCCAAATGCCCTAGTACAGCCGAGAGCGCCCCCAAATACTCTGGTGTGCTCGAGGGTTGGCAGAATCAGCTCGCCCTCTCAAAATGCCCTCACATGGCCACGCGTATACAGCTACTGCTAAGGATGTCCTACTCACTGCCTTATCGCGGTGGGGGTGTTGTTTACGAAATTGAGAGGACGAAAAGCGAATTTTCGGCGCCTTGGTGGATGTGGAAGATCCACCTAGGGGAGTTGGAAAACCCGGATTCCAAACCAATCGTGCACATGGACTTCAGGATCCTGAGGGAACAGAAAGCGTATAAACCTATTATTGGTCACCGGCTACCATGGGACTGCGTCTCCCGACGTTGTTCCACTGCCTTGTGGAGTAGACATTCAAGTCAAAGGTCCCGGGTGTGACCCCTAAGTAGGCCACCTGTTTCGGTCTGGGCACCCGGGTAGTATCACAGTCCACACACAAATCAAGTGACTTGTGTGGCGCATATGAATTCAATGCCCCTTTGTACTAATGTTCATGTGTCCAAATAAATAATTAATTAACAGATAACGTGTCAGGAGTGAAATCCAATGAAAAAAATGCAACAATCTGCTGAAAAATTCAGGAAGACTGGTTTGAAGTCGGATGAGCGCAGAAATTGTCGGGTCTATATTTTTACAACCGATTCGGACTCGGTTTTCAAATAGCGTATTATATTACTGGTGTCTCAAATAAATGAGGAAAACTGTTGTACCAATCACATCCATTTATACTGAATCAAATTACTGAGTAAATAAGTCACTGTTCACCTCATCCTGGTGTCAGATAATGTATCAACACTCAAGGAACAGACTATGTCATTCCCTGTCTAGCCATTACGTTATACACACTCATAAGCCTGCCTACATAAGACAAAAGATTTAATCACGTTCTTAATAGATAAGGCGAAAACAGTTTTCTTGCTGACGAGATGATTTCTGCTGTAATTCTAAAAAGCAATAAAACAAATTGTTTGGTGGTTAGCTCATACAAAAAGAAACCAACAAAACCACGTGATGGGTTAACTGATAACTATAGTTGCAGGTTAAAAATCCCTCTATCCTAAGTGCATCAAACTGTGGCACTGATTCAGCATCTACAAACTAAAAGTGGATTGTAGTTAGCAAGCAGGTTTCTCAACAGGTTCCAAAGTCGTGGATTACAGCCGAATGAAGAAAGCACTGCCTTTAAAAACCACATTCAAAAATTAACATTAAAATCCGATTCGCTTAAATATCTAGCCCATTCCCTAAAATATACGAAACCGAAACAGGAGTACTAACAAAGTACTAATAAAGAAACACTCAGAAACTTAAATGATAGGATAGGTTAACTAACTGCTAACAAACTTACATTATACATATTTTTGTTGGTATATAGACGCTTCGAAGGCAAACTGAAAGTTTGTGACATATTAGCTAAGGATGACTGCAGAATTGGATCCCTTCCTTTATTTACTACACACAAGAGTAAAAGAATAAAACGTGACCAAATAAAATTAATTAATTCACCATGTATTGGAGTATGAGTCAATCTTAATGTGTAAAGACTAATGATACTATCCGACTTCCCGAAGCGAAGTGGACAGAACGAGGTCTGAACCTGGGACCTAGTGACTGAAAGTTAAACGACTTGACTACTAGGCCACCACTCCACACAACGTATGTATATGATAAGTTGTAGCACCCAATGGCAAACTGAAGCATATAAAAAAACATTGATAAGTGGGAATAAGTTTTCTAAAAAGTTACACATACAAACAACATAAGATACCACCTTTTGTAATAGTCCATATGTTAATGAAATTACAGCCTACAAGAAAATATTAGCGATAGGGGCAATATCCTGACAGTTGACCGATTGTTTCTGAACAAAAGCAAATACGAAACCAAGGAGTGAACCAACTAAAACACCATCAGTACATAAAAACAACGGCTTATAGCACTGATCAACATCAATCGATTTTATTTATTTTCCGAACTCTTTCAATGACCTGACATCTAAAACGAACGTCTCACTGTACAAACGAAAGCCAGGAATTGAGGCCAATGTATGATAATAGATTTTTAGTGGCAACACTTAGTGATGATATAAAGCGTAAGCATAACGGTGATCAGGTTGACCATTGACGTGGTAATATATTTTGTGTAACTTATTTACCAGATAAAGGTTTATGCAATTAGTCCGTTTGATAAATTTGGATAGTGTAATAAGAAGACGAAGATTCAGAACTATGTGATATATTAGCTATCCCCTCAGTCAGTCAGTCAGTCAGTAACAACGTGGAACTTCGTACGTACGTACATCAGTTCGAGTTGCCACATCCCCTAAAATTCACAAATAGATGGTATTGCAAGATCAACTATAGCCTTAGCAAAAAATAGCCTGTCTACATCACCTCGCCGTTCAAATTTTATTCAAACAGCCTTCTGTTGAGACAAAGGCTTAAATCAGCTATTAACAAGACATATTAAACAGCAAAGGTCATTATCAGGGAGAAAACAAGGTCCATGTTTAATCGCAAACCTAAAAGACATGAAAGAGATTGCGTCACATACCATTGAGTTCGTCAAATTAAATATATGTGTGGCCTCCTGGTGAGGACAACAGTGGCGAAGGCCTACCATTTTAAACTCCTGGTACGGTGACCCATTTAGTCGTTGTACGAAAATCCCAGCTCATACCTTTGTGGTGCAGAGTTCTCGGTAAGACCGAAGATAGACGTTTAAAATGTAATTAAAACTTATCGGTACGGTGATCATTTTGTCCACTTTTCGATTTTTCGGTGAGACTTTAATTTATGGACAACCTTTGAGTGACGCTAACGTGACCTTGGAAATGTTTACCTGCGTACTAGGGCTAAATGAGGGTTATAAAGCAATTTGAAGGATAAAGATTATGATTTACAATTAATGGTTAGGAATTAGATTTATGGTTTTCATCACTAACCGAAATCAGCTAAAATGCCGAAACGCTATTTAGACAAATGGGCTAATGAACTTTGCTCCAAAATCCAAGACCTGTTATCCTAAATCTGATTGGTTCGTCCATAAATTATAGTCTCGTTGATTTCCTGAATACCTGAAAAACACATCACTCTTATTCGTTGGAAATATCCAATAAAAGACATATAGTTGATCATATATGAACAGGAGAATTATAACATGAACTTACAAGCATCATAGCGATAGTAATCTGGTCCGCTGAGAGTTGGGTGACAGGTAATATCATGCGGTTTGGTCGAAAACTGAGAGGCGAAATGCGAGTTTCCACATAAACTCGGAGTTGATATTTTTAAGAGATAGACACAGGATTCAGGTTCTTCAACAGATAAAATATGAAACGTTCGTGAATCAGCACAGACAAACTGCACTTCTGTTATCCGAGGCATATTTGTCAAATCACAAATACTTCCATTTGAATAAAACTGGCTATGGTATTTGGGTTTCTGAATAGTTTATTAGGCAATGTATGAAGTGAGAGAAATACCTCTGAAGAATTGTCCCAGTCAAATTCCGACTCGAAAAGTCCGAGAAACGTCTTAGACGTTTCCTTAGACTCGTCATGATACTGGGCGACATACTTTCGGAAACAAAACTCGTATGTCCACCAACCTTTTTTCTAGAGACGTCAAATACGTGTGAAATAAATATAGCACTAACCACTCTTAGACAATCAAACGCACTAAACATGGACAGTAGTGAATGTACGACGCTGCTGGACAGTTGTGAAGTGGCGTTATCAGGTTTTATGCCACTGTCTGTACCCCATGAACAAGAGAACTTCTGACCAGACTTTGAAAATACATTAACTCCAGCATCATCCAACTGAACAGACACACGGTAACAAAAGAGATATTACCTTATCAAGAACCGCACGTTCCTTGATGAGAAGGTTGTATTTGGTGCTTTCTTCTGATAGTAATGGAGAAACAGAGATGGCGAAACAAAGTACATAATAAGCTAAGAAGTACTTGCACATAGGTGCACACAACGCAACTAACCAATCTACCCGCTAAAATGACAAGAGACTCAAGATCATCTTAGTTTCCTTTCGGTTAGGACAAGAGGCAAGGTGACCTGTGTTAGCCCTGAAAATGATGATCTCTCGATCGATTCAACTCTCTTTTGATAGATGAAGCTTCAATCACGTGTTGAGTTACCTATGGACTGGAAGGACGCAATCGTCACTCATACATAAAACAGGTCCACGACAAGTTCCATCGAATTACAGACCCTTAAGCCTCACCAGTGTTGTAATTAAAATACTGGAAAGAATAACCAAACGGACAATTACGGCATTTATGGAAACCAATAACTTGCTGAACATGGCACAACATGGTTTTAGAAAGGGCCTATCCTGTACAACGAACCTCCTTATAGCTAGGGAGTTCTGGATTAATGCGCTAGACAACGGAAACTCAGTGTATGTTGTCTACATAGACTTCAGTAAGGCTTTTGACAAGGTGCCAACTAATAGACTGCTATTGAAGTTGGCAAACCTTGGTATTGCCGGACCTCTTTGAAAATGGATTAAGGATTTCCTAGTAGGTCGTAAGCAAAAAGTAAGAATAAATTCCAAGTGCTCCATCTGGAGACCAGTACTTAGTGGAGTACCCCAAGGTTCCGTCCTAGGTCCTTTACTTCTTATAATATATGTTAATGATCTTACAAGTATAGTACAGTCTCCAATGTTATTATACGCTGACGATGTAAAAATTTGGCGAGTAATAACTGGTGATAAAGAAGCATTTACTCTTCAGGCAGACTTAAATAATATGATAAACTGGTCTAAAGAGTGGCTGATGCTTATCAACTCGGAAAAGTGTATCCACAAGCACTTGGGGGTGTAGGGCCAGTGAAATGTCACTGAGCCCTAACCAAATCATCCGGCAGTTGGATCACTGGATGTCGAACAGATCATCGCTCCCTGCCAAAGTCATGTACAACCAACGCGCATTAGTTAATCATATGCCATGGACTGGCCCATGCGGCAGTGGTCTTACTTTCGCTTGTATCTACTTTAACTAATATATTTATGTAATAACGTCCTTTGTGTTGTACAGTGTTCAAAGCATCTATAGTACCTTGTTACGTCAATGGGGGTAGTCCACGTAAGGTGCTGACCACGAGGTGTGACTTCGACGTTAGTTGGTTCGTCACACTATTCACGTCTAACTCGAGTAGGCCTCCAATCATTTCGACGTAGATCATCTACGTTGGTGATCTACACTGGTGAGCAAGACTTCGAATAACGCAACCTATCACTATAATCTTTATTATTGTATTCTACACTTATTCTTTTTCATTTTTGTCATCGCCTATGTTAATCTGTTACTGTGAACTTTCGTTGCTTCATGTCAATGTTGATTAGTATTTAAACTTAAATACTTAGTTCAATCGACAGAACCAACCAATCAACTACGATTATAATCGGCTATCGTGGTTCTTTAACAAGCATTAGCAGCATGTAAATGCTCCTGTGTAATATGTCTGTTAAAATATCAACCACTCGTGATTATAGCCACAAGGCAACACGAACGCACATCTGTTTGTAACTTATTCACTGGTATAAATAAGACAAGATTAACTATCGACTATAAATTCATCTTTCTGCTTAACCACTATCCACTAGAATGTTTTGCTTTTTTTACCACTGCCTGCCTAATTTCCAATTGCTGAGTTCCATGGCCAAACAGAGGATACGAATGCTAGAAATTTACGGTGAGTTTGAACTATAAATTTCCTGCGATCTTAGATCTCGTTTAGACTGTTCGTCAGGTAATGCTATGTATTCGGCTTACATTAATTCTGGACTTATACAAATTCAGTCTACAACGCTGTGTTAACCGAAAAATTTAATCAACAGTACCTCGTACATAATCCAGATTCAAACTACTGCCTACTTCATTACTTAAAGACAAGAGTAACCCAGGCGAGTTTCATAATTTCATTAGATTATTTCGTACTATATTTATGATGCGTGATAACATTTCGTAGTTGCTTTCACTTAAAGTAGTCATATATTCTGTCACTGCCGTCAAGTTTTAGTCGAAATCATGTATATTTATGACTCGTTAGTCGACATACTGTGGTAAAACATATTGCATGTACACGAGCACGCTTAGTCCATGTCCCAAGTACACACGTTGTCGTACTTAATATGTCACTTAACGCTAGGTAATAAGCTCTTTGTATCAGCCTTTTACGAAATGGCCACGATACCTGGACCCTCTAAACCTTAGTTACATTGGTGGTTACCATTTTAATTAATGTTTATTATACCCCTTGTATTTGCTATTAATTCACACGGTAAATCACGGCTCGATTTCCTTATTACACGACAGTCATTTCAATTCTATTTCCGGTTTATTTACATGCCATACGGGTTTGGAAAATATTTAAAAGTCCTCGAAAATTCTCCACGAACCCAACCATAGTTTTCGTATATGTTTTATTCACACATCCAACTGTTACGCCAATCATACCTAAACGAACGTTCAGTGCAACTGTCAGTATACGTAAGAACGATGTTATTTAGACTTGACATTATAACACATCTGAACTATTGTAGTTGTTCTACTTCGATGTCGTACTTCATTTTATGAAGTATTGTTTCCTCGTGGCTGTTATTTAACAGATGATTCTGGCACATCAATCGGCTGTTCAACTACTCGACGATTTACAACCTGTCCAGTTCGATTGGTGGTCTGACGACAATATCATTCGCGCGAATCATCAGTTTATGCAGTCGAGCGAATCTCCTGGAAACTGAAAACGATATTGTCGCCTCTATCCCAACACTGACAGCGTTTTTCACGGGTATCATTGACATGAGTCCAGAGTGACACTCTTGGTTTCTTATGTTCTTTTCGATATTTTTCTGTTCACTAACCGAACAAACGCGCAGCATTCACCGTTTATCATCTTTTAGAGACTTCATCGTGCCACCTTTGCTGTCGATTTGTAGCCTTCAACCCTTACTGACTGTAGCAGCAGTCATCGACTTTTCAAACTGTGACTACAAGTTGGTCAATAGATTCGCACAATGAAATCACGACCACTCTTCACGGTTATACTTCTGTACTTACGGTTAGTCTGTTAGATATAGATATAACTAGAATTTGACACTAATTAATAGCTATCAACGACACTGTCCGACTTACAAATTTAAACTAATGACAGTACAAACAAGGACATCGATTAATAATACACTTATCCTACTATCGCTGTATCATCATTACGTTTGTCATCGGAGGAACTGAATTGCTTGTCAAAGCTATATATTTCAGCGCGACTTGATAGAACAATTAAACGTTTTGTTCTTTTCATTATTTCTATGGTTAATCGCTTTACGTTTAACCAACGTCCTACTAACATATTATGACTCGCTGATTCCCGACCAGTTTCTGCCGCCTCCTTTCCATTTCTTTTACAGACAAGCAATACCTGGAGGATTTATAATATTCGTTTGGCACTCTCCGGCGCGCGACTGCTCCCAGCATGTTTGGTACCGATTCAAACGGCCTCTGAATCTGGTGGGGGTGTATTGTAGGGCCAGTGAAATGTCACTGAGCCCTAGCCAAATCATCCGGCAGTTGGATCACTGGATGTCGAACAGATCATCGCTCCCTGCCAAAGTCATGTACAACCAACGCGCATTAGTTAATCATATGCCATGGACTGGCCCATGCGGCAGTGGTCTTACTTTCGCTTGTATCTACTTTAACTAATATATTTATGTAATAACGTCCTTTGTGTTGTACAGTGTTCAAAGCATCTATAGTACCTTGTTACGTCAATGGGGGTAGTCCACGTAAGGTGCTGACCACGAGGTGTGACTTCGACGTTAGTTGGTTCGTCACACTATTCACGTCTAACTCGAGTAGGCCTCCAATCATTTCGACGTAGATCATCTACGTTGGTGATCTACAGGGGATTCAAATGTTAATACGTACAACATAGGGGATGCGTCATTACCCGTAGTCCGGTCTCATAAGTATCTAGGGGTGACAGTGAGTAATGATCTTAAAACGACGGCCCATTGCCGGGAGGTCGCAGTTAGGGGGTTTCGAACCCTCTGGGCTTTAAAAGGGACATTCACTAAGTTAGATATTACCATGTTCACCACAGTATACACATCCTTAGTGAGAACTAAGTTAGAGAACTGCGTTCAGGCTGCAAGCCCCTGTTTAAAAGGTGACTCAGACATACTAGAAAAAGTACAGAGAGCAGCTACGCGTGCAATTCCGGAACTCCGGGGTTTATCATATAAAGAGCGGCTTGAAAAACTGAACCTCTTTACTCTGCCCTATCGCAGACTAAGGGGAGATCTAATTTTGATGTACAGAATACTGAGAAATGATTTCGGACCTAACTTATTCTCTCTTTCTTCACACTAGATCGGGACACCTTAGAGGACATAGCAGGCGAGTAGAAAAGCCAAGAACGAACAAAATACCCGTGGGATACAGGTTTTCACACCGAGTCATCAATACTTGGAACCTGCTGCCTGAAGCAGTGGTGTCCGCACCTTCAATTGACTCTTTCAAGAGAAGACTGGACACTCACAGAAGCATACTAGAAAAGGAATAACATAGGCCGCAGGCCTTTTGTCCTTACTACACAAATCTGAATCTGAAGTCTGAATCTAATGAATTCCACTTGTAGGTAATTCTATGGGAAAGTCGATAGTCAGCCGACAAGTAATTTGCTCTGAGCTTGTAAACTTTATTAATGTCCTCGTGAATCCCGCATATTGGAAGATAAGAAAAGTAGGGTCACATCAGACGCAAACTTATCACTAAGTAATTTGAAAACTGTGATCACATAGCTTCTGGAAATAGATTTAGTCTAGCCATTCGAGCATCATACGAGAGCTCTGCTTTTCCGGGAATCAGTTTAGTTGCGGTCTTTTGAACCCTTCCAACAACTCACTGTCTCTTTTCAGGCAGGGGCTAGCTGCTTGTATGCAGTTGTAGCGGTAAACAAATCCTCAAAATAAATAGCTCTGCAAGTTTTCGACATTGGATGCTGACCACATGTTTTAGTGGACTCACCTAGCTGAAGGCGCTTGGTCATGCATCCGCACCAGATCACAAGTGGGAACGCCGTGCTCAACA